TCGTCCCGGATACGAACGAGACTGACTGACTGAACTGACAGCTCAGGAATACGGCATTGATAAACCCGGCATTAAAACTCAGGGCCCAGCCACCCAGTATAAGGATCTGCCGTTCCTTATAGCCATAGTTGATATCCGCCTGAGATTTTCGCTTGGATTCTTGGTGTAGAGATACTGTGCCGTTACCCGTATCGACCTGAGAGTCTAGATTGGACACTATCTGGGTTATTTCTTCGTCCGTGTCGTAGTCTGGTGATGATGTTGGTGATCGTAGGGAAGCATCTGAAATCGAGAAAATTGGTGGTTTTGGGCAGGTTTCCGATTTTGATAGCCTTGAATCTTCACCTGCATTCCGCATTTGTAATTGGCGTGAACTCAATCCATAGTCCTGACGTGTCTCTAATAACGAAAGACTGGAGATAGACCCGTTTTTCGAGGACAGTCCGATATTAGAGGGTGATGGCGAGACTGCTAAGCATGATGTATCTATACCGGAAGCGGCTACTGAGTTCACATTGGCATGGCCTTTGTGTGGGTGTTTCAGGAGGTTGTCAGTGCATACGCTGGGCAGTTGCCGCGTATCCACAACGTGATCGGGGTATGCCCGCAGTTGTGATGTACTAGTGATTGATCCATTCTTCGAAGATATGGATATGTTGGAAAGCGAATGCGACGGTGTCATGACTATATCAACTGTAGTGTCGTCAAGCTCGTACTGTATGCTATTCAGATGAAGTGTGTCTCGTATCTATACTGTCACTATTATTATTAATCCGCTACGATGGCCGATTATGCTGACTTACTTGCTGGCTCCGACACGCTAAGTAGAGAGCCGTTGTTATCATTCTCGTTATTATTGTTTGTACTTAGGCTGTACTGGCTGGCAGTGGGACTACTTTTTTACGAGTCAAGTGTCCAATACAATGAATTCATAACCGGTCTTCTTCTGCTGGCACGAGTGTGATTCTCAAGCGATTGGGTTGTTTGCAGATGCAAGAACGGGTTAAATAAACTTGGTGGAATGATTCCCGAGGTCCGTATGTATATTTATTAAGAACGATATACATTTACTGTGTATACGTGTGTATATTTCGGGGGATCTTAGGTCTTGCACATGACAGATGAGTGCTTAAACAAAGTTTGAACCCAATTTTGCTCTGTTACTTCCAAGTCTGGCAGTGGTCTAAGAGAATCGCAGATTTTAAGTGACAGTTATGTATAAGATTAATGAACACAAAACAGATTTGATATGTATTTTTATATATCTGATGGGGGTTTGCACTATCACATGCAAGGGAATAGCTCAAACCTCTAGGTCCCTACAGAACTCGATCACCGAAAGCGAAAGCGTAAGCTTGTTGTGTACTCTACTACTAGTCCCTCCATAGCTCCAGAGAGTTCAGACATTATTATTGGCAACTCTGTCTGTCAGTCACTTGGTCGCGCTTTGTTCTTTTGTGTTCTGTTTGTTCTAGAAAAAGTAATATATTATTTTAGCATCATCAATCATGGCCACGTTTATTGCACTTCTTCTCATAACTTGATCTTGATAGCTTGTGTGTGTATTTTAAAATTCTATACTTTAGAAGGACACCCCAGCCTCCCAGGGACCCAGAGTCTCAGAGTATATACTATTTATATAGGCCAGGAGTCCAGGAATAGAAGGACACCCCAGCCTCCCAGGGACCCAGAGTCTCAGAGTATATACTATTTATATAGGCCAGGAGTCCAGGACCAGGAGTACATGGTAAATACAGGCTGTATTTTTAACTATCTATATACTGCTTTTTATATATCGAGAAGAAGGCTATGGAAGATCGTACATATTCAGGAAAATACATGATATTTCTATGTTTCTCAAATACATATGTGCGCGCCAAAATGATCCGCATCTATATTTAGACAGCATCAGCCCGAGAATTTTTGACAATTTTTTAGTTTTTTAGTATCGTTAATTTTTGTAGAAAAACGTATTACCAGCTCACCAGTCATCACTCACCAGTGGCACCAGCTGCTTGAGATTAGGAGTGCACGTGCATATCAGACAAAATAAGTAAATACCCAAAACATCTGAGGGGGCTCAAGTAAAACAGAGTTTGCCTATATTGCTTATACCGTCTATAGGGTGGATTGGCATACTTCATTGCAGCTCATGCCATTTACATCGGGCCTATTCGTTGTACAACTTAGTTCCGTATCCGTCGAAGCAGCTCTCATACAAGTAGTTGCTTAGCTGCACGGGCGAAATAAACGCTCACCTCATATATACATATATATATATATATATATATATAGTAATATATATAATATATATATATATATATATATATATATATATATATATATATATATATATATATATATATATATATATGTAAATATATATATATATATACACACACATATATATAAATACGCATCTGAATAGTTATTTTAGTTAGTAGTACTCAGTAGGTAACATTAATTGGTCTGCCAATATGAGCGGGTTTGTATTGCCATCGTTTCCCACGAACGCTCCCTCGATGGGTGACGTGGATGAGGAGATTATTCGCAGGACTAATGCAAAGGCTAGAGGGGCTAAAGCGGGTACCTTCCAGGCAATGGGACTCAATCCTTTGCTTCTGAAAGGTATCACACAGAAGGGTTATAAAGTACCTACGCCAATCCAACGTAAGACCATTCCCCTGGGCTTAGAGGGCCGGGATGTGGTTGCCATGGCACGTACAGGTTCGGGAAAGAGTGCGGCTTTCCTGATACCTCTATTTGAGAAGTTGCTGTTGAAGAAGACTACTACAATGATAAGTGATGGATCGAAGGGGACTGGTGTGCGATCGCTAGTTTTGTCACCCACGCGTGAGCTTGCACTACAGACACTTGGATTTATCAAGGATCTGGGCAAGCACCTACAGATGCGGTCATGTCTGATTGTGGGAGGTGATTCCATTGAGGATCAGTTCACCCTCCTGCACAATAACCCCGACATAGTCGTGGCCACCCCGGGGCGTTTGACCCATCTTCTGGTAGAGATGAACCTACCGCTCAGCGCGTGTGAATATGTGGTGTTTGACGAATGCGATCGTTTGTTTGAGATGGGTTTCGAGGAACAGGTTAAAGAAATCAGTGCGCGTTTGCCGGCTGATAGACAGACGATGCTGTTCTCAGCTACCCTTCCACGCACCCTGGTCGACTTTGCACAGGCCGGTCTTAAAGACCCTGTGCTTATTCGATTGGATGTAGACACTAAGCTACCTGCGGAGTTGAAGCTGTCCTTTTATTCTGTAAGACAAAACGACCGCCTTGCTCTGCTACTGCATATTCTCCGCACCAAGATCAGCGAGGACGAAAAAACTCTGGTTTTCGTCGCTACTAAACACCATGTGGAGTTCATGCGTGAGCTGCTGGAGACGGAAAAGATCTTGTGTTCGTACTGCTACGGTAGTCTGGACATGACAGCGCGTAAAATCCAAGTTGCCAAGTTTAGAAGCGGAAAAGCTCCCGTACTGATTGTGACAGATGTCGCTGCTCGTGGTATAGATATCCCGCAATTGGATAATGTGATTATGTACGATTTCTCACCGAGCCCAAAGCTGTTTGTGCATCGTGTGGGACGTGTAGCTCGTGCAGGTCGTCATGGAAGCGCGTACTGCATGGTGATGCCTGAGGAGGTACCGTATTATTTGGATCTAATGTTGTTTTTGGGTAGAGATGTTAGAATAGCTGGTCGATTGAACCGGGGCAATACAGATACATCCGACGATACGGATAATATAATTGGAACCGTGCCCGAAATTCTACTGATGGATCTACGTGAGCACGTGAAGGAACTCCACAAGTCCAACTACGATTTGGGATCAGTCGCGAAAACAGTTGAGAATGCGTATCAAATGTACAACAAAAGTCGACCCAAGCCGTCGTCTGCATCTGTGCGTAGAGCGAAGGACGAGATAGTTGGTCACCATGTAGCAATCCATCCCGATTTCCTGGGTTTGGTTGATGAACATGCATTAGCAGCGAGTGAAATACTCAAAAAAGTGGCCGGTTATAAATCAGCGAACACTGTGTTCGAGACCAGTCGGCTCAAGAATAGTGCGGCGGCGGATGCGATGAAGAAGAAGCGACAGATACACTCGGGGGTCATTGAGAAGGTCAAAAAACAGAAACAGGAACGGAAAGAGATGGAGACTGCAGAGATTGCGAAGTTGAATGGCAATGCAAGACAGGGTGACAAGAAACGCAAAGCCGCAGAGATGGAGACGGCCTCCGATCAATTGATTGGGAAAATGTTCGGTACTATAATAGACCCTGCCAAACGCAGCCGCGACTATAAGAAAGATGAGGAAACGCATGAAGATGACGATGCTGGCGCCGAGTTTGAAGATATGCATGATGATGAGGTGAATAATGCAGTGAATACCGTTACCGTGAAACGGTCAAAGCGGGACGAAACAAACTATATTCCTTATCAAAGCAAGAACCATCATCATGAAACTGGATTGGCCTTGGGCGATTCGTTTGTTATGGCTGCTAGAGATGCTGTGGTCGAATTCACTGGGGACGATGATGGTGACCTTCGCAAGCAGACTCAGAAGGTATGGACTTATTTTTGTGGTGAATAGTGTTGACGAAGCTGTGACATTCGGCTGTATTGTTATTTATTGGTCTTTATATTCTATAATTAGATGCGTTGATGATCCTCAAATTTATATTCAAAAGTTTAGAGGCGTTGATGATCCTCAAATCTGTATGTAGGAAGGGTTCTAGTGCTAGTCGTCTTTGGTGCAATGTAAGTGGGCCTGTGTGGTCATATTATTCGTAATGTAACAGACATGTGGTCTGGGAAATTCACAAGCTATACCCCACTAGTGATTGAGTGTGTGGAAACTAATATTCCTGCCATCATCAGAAAGCAAAGGTATCGCTGTCCCTTATTGTGCCATCGACTGCTTAAATTGTGTGTTCAGTAGTACATGTACTTGTTGTTGCTGGCTTTTCTAATATAGGCTGCCATGCTCGAAATAGGGTATTTGTTGAAATAGTGAAGCACTTGCCTTCCAGAGAAGTGTCAAAGGCCCTATTGGGACGAGTGAACGGGATCGACTTAGTCTAATCGATTATTGACACTTTATCACTAGTGTTTACGTGCCAAAAAGTGACGGGGGTGTCATCCATTATATCTCTCTATCATTCATTATTTACACACTCCCTTTTATACCGGGAACTTGAAGCTATCAGATAGTGACCCCCCTCGTCCTCTAGTGCTAGAGTGTAGATCATATGCAACTCCCCAACTTCTGATATTTTTATGGAGCTAGACTGATATCTTTCCTGCCATTGGTACTCCTGCAAACCCGCTGCATGTACCAACGCATATACTGACGCGTAGACATGGTGCGTTCTCACATTCCAGCACACATATCTTCTAGAGAGTTAATATGAACTTACAATGCTCCCAAAAGAGTATTAGATGCCCGGGCATATGATTTGTTCTGTTATGTGAGTATATATATATGACAATTATGTGACACGCAGTGCTCTCAATATCTGATCCAGCTTGCAATATATAGACTGTCGAGTTTTCACGTAGCGTTTGCCCACATATGGCCGACCTGTGTATGCGACCACAATACTGGATGCAATTTTGTCACTAACTTGAATTTACTCTTCATTTTACAGAAAAAATGGGACCGTAAAAAGAAGAAGTACGTCGGCGAGGCCAACGATGACCCAACCAAAAAGAAGGTCAAGACTGAATCCGGAAACTATATCAACGCTTCGTACCGTGGTAATTTATACAGTGAGTGGAAGAACAAACACCATGTTACGGGTGGTGCTGGTGAGAGCAGTCTGCCACAGATCACCGGTGCACGTGGACGCGGTAGAGGCAACTACAAGCAGGGCAACCAGAAGCAACAGAAGAGTGAACACGTGCCCTTAAGGGGTAAGGGTCCGCAGAACAGAGTCAAGGAGGAGATGAAGAACAAAGACCAGATGCTCAAGACAAGGAAAAAGACTCAGAGAGTTAAGGAGCATTTGCAAAAGGTGGAGAAAAAGAAGGCTGCCGGGAAGAGAGGCGGGGGCGGTGGCAGTAAGGGCAAAGGGAAAGGCGGCAGGTAGTACCGATGTCCTACTTCGGACACGTACTTACGGAACTTGAACTATAAATGCAGAATTATAGTAGTAGGCGATGGAATAGAACTGCGAAAAGGCAATTGCATAGGTTGTTATGTGGTAGTTCGTATCTACAGACCACCGATAGTATCTCGTACTCGTATACTTTTACAAATACTTTCGACACAAATCTTCACTGCAAGCAAACCATTCTAGTGTTTTCTCGTGTATACTGGAAGGGAACTTGACAATATATCACCTGACAAAATGCCTATATATTTGTGTACACGTATATTAGTGGATTGCAAAGAATGCAACTGTATACGTATGCGCATGCGGATTACGAGACCATTGAGTCATGATAAATTCAATTGTACATACCATGCCCTATTTACAGTTTCGGTGAATGCAACTGTAGTTGTCAAAACTTTGTTTGGGTCAGCTTTGAGACTTTTTGCTCATGCCAGGGAGCGAGCGTCGCCATGATGCATATGCTCATGGATGTATTTCACAGTATTTCGTCATAGCCTTTTTATCCTTTTTTCTAGTGGGCTATGATTTTGTTCCTTAACGAGCTGGTACACCTAGAAGGGTGGAAATGAAGAACTGCTGGTCGCCACGAGTGACAATGTCGAGATGATATATTTGAACAGGGTAGACTTTCATAAATAGTTATTGCTTGGCGATTTTAGAACGTTGCAAGACACACCCTCCCCTCCACAAGTTTTGCTCTTGTCGACACCGTGACGAAACCTAGTAAAACAACTCAATTATCTAAATATCTAGCTACATAATTTTTTTCTAAATACATACAACGTCATGACCGCTAATGGGTACGATGTGATCTTCAACTCGCAATGGATTGGACGGGAAAAGATTATTATGTTTTCGCGGTACAAATTCGAATATCATAAAACTGCGTAGTCCAATAATAGTGCACATAATACGCTATGGAATCGGCGAACTGCAGTCTGTTTCAGGCAGTCGGGTGTGACCAGTGATCCACATGCAGTAGGGTAATCCGGTGCGCGGCTGACGTACGTTGCAGAGCTTATCGTCTGCTGCGGTCGTAAAGACCTACATGTAGTGTATCCGCCGTCGTAAGTATTTTATGTATGCTTGAGCTATAAACAGATATTTCTAAGCACGGAACAAATTAAGTAGTGTGTAGGATACCTAGTATATCTCGTGTGAGAATCATGTGGCGAGTATTGTCTCACGCACTAGGTACTAGTGCCGTAGCGCTCACCCAGGATCACGCACGTACGCTACTAGAAAGAGCAGCGCATCATGTACAATCCATAGTGGATGCTGTAGCACAGGGAAAGGTAATCTTTTCCATACATGCCGATGTGTTGTGCTTGTGCCTTATACTAGAGCGATTGCTGGAAGACGGGGTGAAGGGGAATTCACTGTGGTTTGCGTATAATACCCAAGAGCACACTCGTAAGGAGGAATTGGATGTGATTATTTCACATCCCTTTACACGTACACCCAAGGGAAAGTGGCGTGCGTGGCTTGTATCTCAATTAGAGGAATGCATGCTGTACGTCAGCTTATATATGATTCTGTCGGACAAGGCGAAGCTCAAGAGTCTGTACGAAACCTTGTCGGTAATCAGAGTTCCGAGCATCGCAGATGAACTGCTTAGCATCGCAGAGAGACTGGATAATGTCGCGGTCAACTTGGCTGGGTTCACAACTATTGAATTCGATACTCTACACGAGAAATTAGCTGACAAAATCCAGCTAGATCCACCACCCGTTCCCGAGGTATGTACAGCAACGAACTGATATGTTTTACTTGTATATGCGCTTGTGTCCGTGTGTATTATTATCTCACTTCAAAGTTATAACGATTGGCGACATTTCGATGGGTAATCTTCTTTTGAAATATATATTGCGTACATATCACACAATGACGTGTTCAACGGGTAAATGCGATACTTGCTAGTAGCCATTCGAGCTATAACAGCACGAATCATCATTCGTTTTCGTTATATCTACAATTCACATAGCTTGGTATCAGACTTTGTCATTAGCGCCGGATTATATACTGAAATAATAAATGAGAAAGATATAATAGGTGTCGTTTTCAATATACATATATATATACACATACATTATATTACACACACACACACACACACACACACACACAC